GAATTAGCTGGGAAATTCTTGCTGGAGGTCTGACCAACGCTGTCCCAAGACTGTTTCACTCCTGCAGTTTCAGCGCTTCTTGTGTATTCTGTTTGCTGGAGGGATTTCCATCAGGGCCCTTCCCAGAACATTCCACATGTCAGCACTGGGAGCCTGAGGCAGTGCAGCACATCCTCAGACCAGAGGACTGTGGAATTGATGGCTTGGCAGTAATGCCTAGTGCTAACATACTGCAACAGAGTTCCTTTTATTCACCTTGTGCTGAACATGCCCTCAGCTGGATGGGTACCATTACAGTCCTTTGTCCTCTGTAACAGTAGGAAGGGACAGTTGGGGCGGCACCCAGCTCAACTGAAAGAAGCATGATAAACTAGTCAGCTACTGGATGGATACTCCTCCTCAAGGAAATCCTGGAGGCTGAGGAGCAAGTCACCTGGCACAGGCAAGACCTCAGAGCAGGTTGCCCTAGCAGGGTGGTCAGCAGGAGGTGAGGTCTCCTGGGACCACCTCAGGCCTCTGTAAGGAGGTGGCCTAGGTCTGGGAATGACTTCCCAGTGGTCAGCGTAGCAGCACAGTTGTACGTATGCCATGTGCTGAGCAAGCAGTACGCTTTGGTAGCAGGCAGAAGCCCCTGTTCATCCTGGGGGGGGAGGGGGGTGGGAGGGGGAATGGAATGAAGCATATCTATTTTAAAGAGACTTGACAGGATAACTGTGTTGTCACAGACAGCAGGTACAGTGGACTCACTGTCCAGCTGTGCAGCAGCAATGTGGGTTGCTGTGGTTACAGCAAAATGAAACATGTCCCAGCCTGGCTCCCAGTACAGTGTGAAAGCATGCAGTTAGCCACTGCCTTAATGCAGGCTGGGCTCTAGATAAAATGGCAGTCCAGTAAATATTAGACCAGGGACAGATCCACATTAGTGGAAACAAGAAAATCCCACATACAAGTCATGTGTAGTACCTGTGTCTCATCTTATGCAATGCCTGGTTTTTCTACCATTGAGTGGAGGGAAAGAAGAGATGCTACAGGATTCACAGCCAAATCCCAGGATGTTGAAAAGGGAAGGACATGGGTCTTTGCAGCAGATATTTCTATTTGTGCTGTTCAAACACCTTTCAGAGGGAAAAACAGATGCTCTTGTGGTTTGGCTCTGTGTTCTGCTTTGGAGACCTAAGTGCTATTCACTGTGTGACTTTTGACCAGTCAGTTAAACCCACAGATGCAAAGGTTAATGCTAATTTTCATATCCACCCAACTTCTGTGCACACGAAGCCCAGAACAGGAAAGCAGGCTCAATGAGTTCACATAGGTATGTAGGCATCAACTTCAAAACAAGGATAAATTTACCCTTGTGTCAGGTTGGTTGTGGGGCCAAATTAAAACATTTTGTAAAGCATTTGAATATCCCGAGGGGCTAGAGACATGCGAACCTTTAATAATAATGGTGTTTGGCTTCAGCTTGTCGAGGATAATGTAGTGTGGCAGAGTCTTTGTTATTCCTGTGTTTGTGCTTTGACTCCAGCCGTTATAGTATGTAGCTTGTCTACATTTATTGCTAACCTCAGATCTTTAAAATAGCAAGCAAGTTTTGACCAGTCCAGAAAAGGCAGTGTTGATGTTGGTTTAAAGAACAAACCAAATAAAATGTTAAAATAAATTCAAAACTGATCTCAGACATAAAATTCAGTGGCCAGCAGAGTTCCCAGCAGAAGTCATGTTCATCATGAAAGAGGAAGGGCCTGAAGCATACATGGGCAGGCTGAGCTTGGGCTGCAGGTAGAGGAAACCCTCACAGAAGTATCTGAGTGCTCATCAAAGCAATGAGAAGAGAGATGTCTGCTGATAGCACTGAAAAAATACCCTACTGAGGCTTACTCAGGGCTTGGAAAGACTTGCCTTCTTTGAGGGAACTCTTTTTCGAAGACTGGAATGAACATTCTGCAAACAAGGATACACTCTGTTTTCTTTGTCTAGGGACACAGTTTGCAAAACACTTGTGGAACATCGGGAAGACCAGCAGAAGGAAACAAGGAAAACCCTAAAAAAAACCCCAGCTGATGCTGAAATTACCTGACAAGGCTTTGCACAGCTTTCTGGGAGTAAGTGCGCATCAGATAAAAATCATCAGCATATCAGAACTCTCAAAGAGAAATTAAATGGGTTTGAACTTAAGACTTTTAAGTTCAAACTTAAACAGGAGAGATTCAGCTTAGATATAAGAAATAAATTCTTCCCTGTGAGAGTGCTGAAGCCCTGGCACAGGTTGCCCAGAGAAACTGTGGCTGTCTCATCCCTGTCAGTGTTCAAGGCCAGGTTGGACAGGGCTTAGAGAAACCTGGTTTAGTGGAAGGTGTCCCTGCCCATGGCAGGGATTTGGAACTAGATGAGCTTTAAGGTCCCTTCCAACCCAAACCAGACTGGGATTCTATGACTGAACTGTCTTTGACCTTTCTGAAAACTGAACTGTCAAATTCATTCATTATTTTTGCAAATCTTACCCTTTCTGTGCCATCAATCAATGTAATGATAATTTTCCAAATAGAGTGAAAGTCAGTACATATAAATGGTAAGACTGTTCTACCTTTTAAGTACATTAGCTATGCTTGCTCTTACTGGCATGAAGAATTGCCCTTTGAAAAAAAAATAAAAATCTACTCTTCCTGAAGTATGTGGTAAAGGAAAAAAAGAAACTAGATGCAGGCTTCTTAAATTCTTTCAGCTTTAAATGTAGCTTTCCACTGCATCAGGACAGACCATCCCTGGCTTCAGTTTCACAAGCAGAATTCAGCTGTTCCATGCATGAAACTGAACCTAAATTGTTGTCCTGGCATGGAACAAGAAGAAGCATCTGGCTGGTCAGAGAGCCTAAGCAAGTGCCCTTTTGGAAGTACTCTGCCTTGGTTTACTTTTTCCAAAACAAAGGAGGAAAAAAGCAACATAAATTCTCTGTCCCAATACTTGTCAGCTTTAGGAAAAAAAACCCCAAAACCAAACAAACCAACAAATGAAACAGCTTGCACCCAAAGTGTCTGAGATACCTAACCCATTTTTTAATAAAAAAGATAACAGAGAGAGCAGCCATGGCTACGTGTAGCCTGCACAGTCAACACATTGTGTAATTATGCAATCTGTTCTGCCTCTTTTAAATCAATTGTCAGTTTTAGTGCTCTCCCTTATCAGAAGTTATCACCTGTCATGCAGGGAGAGGCACTCTCAGGTATGTAGCCAGTTGGTTTTGATTGCAGGTCCACAGACTGCATGTTAAAAGAAGTCTGTTGACAGCAGAAATCATTGTAAACTGAATCACAGGAATGCCAGATCCAGTTTAACATCTCCACGGCCTCTTCGGACTTCATAGCTTTTACCACAATGCCTTCTGTCAGTCTCTCACAACTCCTTCCTAACAGCAGGAATCAAAATTACTTACTAGGAAAACAAACCCTTCTATCTGAGCTGAAGAAGATTCCCTTACTATTTGCTCCCACCATAGAGCTTCTTGAAACACCAAGATACGTTTCTGTTTTCAACCAGAACAGTGAAATACGTGCTTACGTTTAGCAAATGAAGTACCTCTTTAACAGTTGGTGATTAATTCAGAAAGATCAACTGTGTGTTAAATCAACTTTTTTACCTGATTTATTTTTACTAAAGAAGTGGCCTCACAATGTGATTTTCTCTACCAGAACAGATATTTTCTGTGGTTTGCTTTACTATTTGGAAAACCTTCTCATCTCTTTCAAATCTATTCCTTTTAACTTGGTAATGGTAAAACCTCCAGACTGTGTCACTCACCCTAGGGATCACACCTGTAAATCAGTCCTTCCTCCTAGGAAGCAGATGAATAGTGAGACATGCATGTTGCAAGATGTGAGAAGGCCAACAGCAGACAGGAATGTATCTACAGCATTTCCAATTTTACCTTTTTAGCATTTCCAAATTTACCCTTTTAAAATTTCCAGTTTTACCCATTCACACTTTTCGTATTGGCAGTGTGAATGATATGGTGGAACAGCTAGCTGATAGCAATATTTCATGCACATTTCTCCTTAATTTTGTTTCATATCTACAATCGGCAAGCCTGAATTCAAATTACTGTAGGAAAAAAATTCCTTTTAGTTTAACTGTCTGCATCCAAACCTTTTTGATCTGCCCTTCCAAAGGATAAAATGGTGCCCAGCTTTAAAAAAACTGTTTTCAATAATCATCATTTGCCATTAAGTTTAAATCTTGTATAATTTGATTTGAGGAGATGTGTTTTCTTGAACTGCTTTCGGAATTACAGTATAATTTCTCGTGGCCTTTCTAATAATGCTAGAAGCAAAACTGAATGGTAATACATCAGTACAGGAGAAGTAGAAAATTATCTCCTGGCACAGTCCAAGATCAATAAGTAAATGGGCATTATAAATGCAAAAGTGTTAACTTAGTCATAAAATTGAAGGATAACTGAAGTTGGAAGGGACCTTCAAAGGTTTTCTAAGCCAAGCTCCTTCCCAGAGCAGGACTAATTTTAAAGTTAAATGAGGTTGAATGGTTCTTCACTTTGCATGTAACAAAGACGATGGTGGAGATAGACATCAAGGTAAATCAAGGCAAATCAAGGCAACAACAGCTGTGTACCCCTAAGCATACCTTCTTGGCTAAAGCAATTTTATCATTGTCTTCAGCAAAGGAGAAACATAACAGTACCTCAAAAATTCATTCTCTCTGGCTCATTTAATACATTTATTTTTCCCTTCCAGAACTTAGAAATTTATTTCTTTTCTCCATGTGACTACTTAAAGGCAGTTCACGTTAATTACCTGGCTGTGGTTATACTTCAGTGTAGACGTCATCCTCATCTACAATTGTGTATTTTATGTCCTGAAGATTATCGGCATTGGAGTGGTTTATAAACTTGAAAAACGCATGGTGTTTCTGTGCCACTTGTATACCTGCCTTTTTAAATGGATAATTTGCTGCCCAGTAATATCATGACTTGCACTTCTCTGTGTTTGCTGACACTCTTTTGGACAGAAGAAAGGTTGTGGATGTTACAGAAGCGACATCCATTCCTGCTTGCTAAAAATCACCTGCCACCTTGACTGGATATATCTGTCTCTGTTTCCTGTCCTCACTCCAGATCTTTGCTACTGGGGCCTTGCTTTTCTTCCACGGAAGGAGATGGGAGATTTGCCACAACTGCAGTGACAGCAGTAGGAGAGCAGACACAGATTAGGCAGGGTGTTGGAGGATTTTCTGCATGCTCTGTAAGTATTTAGGGAACTGTGTGATACGTGATCCTACAGATGAGGTTAGGCAGTTTGAACTTTTGAGTTAGACCCAGCTATTTCCAGACAGGCAAAGCTACCTTCTGACTGTACATCTAAATTATTTCTTCTGGCAAATAGCAGGAGTATGTTAGTGAAATGTGCCTGGATATAGTAGCTTAAGATAGAGCTATGCTAGAAATGTTCCTGCAGTTGTTCCTTGGAAAACACCTGTGCTACTGTGCATGGAAATTTGTACATCTCTGTTCATGCTATCGCAGAGCAATTAATCTTGTGAAACAAACTATAAATTATTATTGGGAAATATGAGAAGGACATTATGCACCAGTGGACATTAGATGACTAAAGGTAGTTACCATTTAGAAACAAAGGAAAAAAAAATGAATATTCCATTTTTGGCATAGGAAATAGAGGAAGATTGGCAGACTCTACAAGACTTCCAGAGCTCTGATTGCTAGTTATTTAAGAATAACCAATTCACTGAATTTCACCCCTAGGGGGGAGAGAAATTTTTTACACTTACAATTGGAAAAAACCTTCCATCTGTGATAATCTGTGACAGTCTGTGTTTGTATAGTCTGATAAACGGAAGAATATACAGGTTGGCATGATTTCTTATTTACAGATAATGGTTACCCTATGCAAAGCAGAAAAGGCATTGCCCCAGAGAACTCAATTTTAGGAAAAGACATACAAAGAGGGTAACTTAAGAAACCCTGGGGAAGGGACAAAGAGATGTATTTTGTTCACAGCAAGTTAGATAAGGGATGTTTGATCTCTTGAGGCTTTCAACTAAAGCTTGAGTTATTAGAAGGTGTGCTTACTGAAGTGTAATGACCTGTTGTATTCAAGAACTCAGGATCAATCTGAAAAGTGAGTGTGCAAGGAATACAGAGCAGCATGGTGAGGCATGAGGGGGGCAGATATCTGACTGCTGGCCAGCAATTTGTCACTGACTGCTCCTGAGGCTGCTAAGAGCTAATGAGGCGTAAGTTGCATGTGTGACCTGTCATGTCATCTCCCAGCAGCTCGGACGATCTTTGTGGTACAGAACGTCCATACTTGGCCATTTTACCTGTTTTCTTTCATGATAATGATAAATGCATTGCATTGCATGATGAAAAAGCAGAAATCAAGATGGGAGTATCTTCCTGGTTTTGTGTGGATCCTTTCTGCAAAGGGTCTTCTAGCCTCTTGGTGTTTAATCCAAATTATATAAAATGGATTTGCACCCTGTTAAATCTGAAAATAAATTTAAAATAACCATTCACAGTCCTCATAACAGAATGCCTCCTAGAAAATCATTTTACTCCACAGCTGCCTGGTTTTACAGTCAGAAAGGTGACTGCTCTTTTTTTTCCTGGTTTAACTTTTAATGACTAATTTAAATTCCATTTATGCAAAATCCCTATGATTTTGAAAATGCCTTCTGAAAACTATGCACAACTACCTTTCAAAAACATACTTTAAAAAGCCTTAAGTGCAACATTGCCTAGAATTATCTTGTCAATTAAATAAAAGAACCCACTTGAAATAAGTGACAAAAATATACAGTGGATGAAATGCACCTTCCAGTAACAAATTATTATTAAAGGAGACCTTTAAGCAAACTGCTAGTTATGTGGTCATGCTTAGAAAAGCACAAGGTTATTGAAACATACAGCTTCCTTTCAAGACAATTTAACTTGCACTGAAGGCAAATTATTGCCATAAAAGCACTGAAGCATGTTGCTCAGGCATTTGGTGCAATTCTCTTGGCTTCTAAAAGGTTACTCTCACTGCATGAAGATGTCAGTGGGATCAGAATTGAGTCTACATCTTCAGCTGCCATTGGCAACACTGCCTGCGACATCTTCCTACAGAAAAAAATACATATTAATCTGATATTATTATATTAAAAAAAAGACGGGAAGCAGTATTTTAATAGACTTACAGATGCAATATAGATTTCTAACAGTAGGTATAATGAAAACAAGTGAGACTGAGCCAGTAGACAAAGGAGCTGCAAGAGGACTAATACAGAGGACACCTAAACCCACCCAGCACAGAAATCATTAATAATAATTGTATTCACTGGGAAAATAATGAAATGTGTCACAGATTTGGAGTCTTTCCTGGTTCTTTCCTTTTCTCACTGCATGGAGAGTGGAATTTGAATGAGGTGGAGCAACAACAACCTGTGGGCAACAAAACTGCAGTATTCTTGACGTGGCACTGATAAAATCATCCAACAATGCCTTCCCCCTCTCCATGTCTTTATGTGGGGGTTTGCAGTGGTGCGGGTGTGGTTTCCTCTCCCTCTTCGCATGCTGGAGCCATCTCAAGGCCTGCAAAATGAGATCTGATGATGTTACAGCAGTAGGATGCGTTGGACACTGTGCTGGCAGGCTTGGCAGTTAGCTCCTCAACACCACTCAGTCTCTTCAGCTCTGTCTAGAAAAGGGTCTTCATAAAAACACAGGCAGAGAATCAGGCTCACCAAATTCACTCTCCAGCCATATCCTCATGCTCTGTCAGTTTTGGGGATTGTGGATATCTGTGGTTACCAACATACTGTATGTGGGCCTACTCAGGGCCATGAAAAAGTAGACAGGGGCTTATTCATGGTGTTATTTCTGGAACAAAATCCTTTTGCATCTGTGAAAATTCTCAGGGAAGACTTGGAATTTCCTTCACAAATCAAGCAATGGAGTTCTTAGCTATATTTTACAAGTTTTATGCTAGCTACTATACACGGAATAATAACATTTTCTAGGAAAGATGTGTTGTCCAGTAGACTTTTTGATCTCTCTCTTCTAGTAACCTCATGTTACAAACCACAAGTTAGGTTTCTCTGTTGTCAGAGGGAAATTTGTTTCTCTGTTGTCAGAGGCATTGAGAAACGCCTTCTGAGATGGTTTAATGTCAAAATTATCTCTGCTGAAACCACATGAAGTGGGTAGGGTTGAAAAGACTGCATTAAAAGAGCATAAATGGGGTGAAAACAGACTAAATATTAATAGAGGCAGTGAAAATGAAGGTATGAAGTAGTCCCCTCCAGCACTTTGCAATGACATTTCATCTCCTCTGGAAGTCTCGTGCTGCTTGTTTGGTGATTTGCTGTCGTTTGCCTTCTTTATAGGAGGAAGTTTTGTCATTTAAGTTACACAGATGCACTTCCTCTTGTCCCAGGACTTTGATGCAGCTGTGCTAGTACAGGGATACTTACACTGATGTAAGGATAAAAATATGGTAGCTTCTTTTTTTCTTTTTTTTTTTTTTATCCAGTAAACAAGGTATGTATATTGCAGTCTGTCCCAAACTGATGAAGTTTCCATTGATCTGTGTTTGGCTCTTGTCGGCTCAAAATATATTCTGCTAAGTTTCCTGAGCCAGCAAGCAGGGCTTCTTTCTTCTGCACCCTCCCTTTCCAATTTGAACAGCTATTTTAAACTGGAGGTGTGGCCACTGAGACAGACACACAGGTGCTGTCATTGCTGGCCTTGACATTTGTTCTGTTGCCAATTAACCTTTTCCCCCAATACCAACCTCCTGTTTACATTAACCCTTGATCAACACGCCTTGTTCTCCTTCTGTCTTTTAGGAAGCATGTCATAAATTGCAATAAATTCATCTGTTTATGGATTCTGAACCTGACCAACTTCCATGAGCACAAGGTGAGAAGTATGAAATCATACTCTTCCATACTGAGGACAGGCACTGTACCTGTTGGAACTCTTACATCTACTCCTACTAGAGGATGAAATGCCACTCTCCTTTAGGGTCCTCTCTCAGGAGAACAAGGTTTAAGTTCTGCAGATTTATGAATAATTTTATCTCCCAGATTTGTCCCCTCACAGAGGGTCTGGTGAGGAGAAGCCTCAGCAAAGGTTTCAGTTTAGATAGCTTTTAATATCAGGCACTGGTCCCACTGCTTGAAAAAGAAACACAGTCTGCAAAATATTTCCCAGATACACATGTGTGTGCATATATATATATACATACTTCCATAGACTTTCTATAAAACCAAAATGTACAAACTAAGGTCATTTTACTTAAAGAATCTACCTTTACCCCCTTCGGTGAAACAGAAATACCCCAACTGTCAAATCATCCAATTTAATTAACACAGAGATCCCCCCCCCCCCCCCGTGTGATACCTTTTAAGGAGTTACAAAAGAATAAGCAGCTCTCAAGGGCAAAAGGATCCTAGGGCAAATCTCATTTAATGTGGGCTGTCTTGGTGTTTGATACTTCACCCATATTCTCAAATGAGCTTGAATGATGTTTGAAGAAAATGATAATTCATGCCATGAGCTGTTGTCTCTTCCATCACTGCAGAAAACAAGGATGTTGGTCAAACCAGACACATTTTCTTCCCCTAGCATCAGGTGTGGTGTCCCTAATCATCACATAGCAACAGTTTAGTCTTATGGGGAGAGAAGTAGTCACAAATCTCTGACTTCTGCCTCCCACTTTTCAGCACTGCAGCTCTCCTGGTGCTGTTGTCCTCCATGCCAGGATAATAAAATAGCAGCTGGGTACTTGGATTAATTAATGGTTGGTTGTAAAGCTCATGGAGCTCTTTGGTTAAACGGCTCAAGGAAATGGTTGTTCTAACTGACCCCTGTTGTTCTTAGTGGGTGTCCAGTTGCTGAGTGGGATGGCTGCTTGTGTCTAGAGTGTTAATTGCCACCTGCCCCTTAATCATGAAGGTTTGTAATCCTATTTCAGTTTGGAAATCCACATGCCACAAAGCCAAATTAACGTGTCTAGTATCATCACCTGCTAGTCAATACACAGCTCTTACCCATCCACAACTATTCCCAGTGAATTGCTGGGCAGACATGCCAGGACAAATTCTGCCAATCGATACTGGAAGACAGTTTAGCAAGGACAGATAAAATAATACCTATTTAATTTGGTGGCATTGGAATGTCTCACATCACAAGAAATAGCTTTTCTTTAGTTTAAAAGTTATTTTGCAGAGGTTAAGTCTTCAGTTATTAGGATCCCAAAATACTTCAGATGGGGTTTTAATTCCTTTTTTTGCTGCTGTTTCCCACCAGCCTTCTGGTTCGGTGTAACTCAAGAATTCCCCTCTCAAAGGCTGTTTGAGTGCTACAGCATCTGTAGCTAAGGAACGTACTTCTCATTTTTCTCCCCATATACACACTTCCCTCAATCACAAATAAATGCCACATTGAAAGAAAATTATTCCTTGTATAACTAAAAACCCCAAACCCAAACAAACCAAACCAAACCAGATTTTATTTCTAGGCCTTACCACAACTCCTCCTTTGCCCACAACACTTGATTGTTCTGCGAGGTCCAGACAGCATTGGGAGCACTCATTTTCCCTGTTCATAATCCCAAAGCTGATAATGCAGTGCTTATAGCAAGGATCCTTGGGCTTTGGGGGTTTGCTTTTTTCTTGATCCTCCTCAGCTCTTTGCAAAAAATCAGTGAATTGCACACGAACAAAGATGCAGCAGGGATCCTTCTCTCCTAAATGTCATAAAGGAGCCCTTCTGTTGCAAGATTGTTGAGTCCATGCTCTTATAACAGATTTCACCTCCTGAAACTATATGAATGATATTTTTTAAGTGTTCTATTAGGTTGAAATCAGTAAAGGGAAAGGAATGTCTGTGTTGACATAGAAATCTGCATTGGCATTTTTAGCATTGTGCTGTGTGTGTTTACAAAATGAACTTTTTTTTTGCCTTTTAGGTAAACTGAAACAAATGTTCCACTGTGTGGCTCAGTACAGCAGTCAGAGGAGGAAGAACATCCATACTTGACCTCTGTGATGGCAAGATACACTTCAGAATGTGGAAGAAAAAAACCCCAAAACAGTAAGAGAGACTGGAGCTCTAAGCCTCATACTGTAAACATCACCCAGATGATGCTGTGGCCAGGAATCAATTTGAAGTCACCTCCATTAACAGTAATCACTGTTGTTCAAACTGCAGCAGATCCACACCTTGTACTTCAGGGCCTAAAACTACTTTTATTAAAAAAAAAATAAAAAATAATTAGTTGGCATGCCAGTTCATTTCCCTCACAGGGGTGCTGTGTTTAAAGGGGCTCAGATACATCTGATGTATCACAGCCCAGCTACAGGTCTGCTGCCTGTGTCAGGTATATCCCAAAGAATAGTTGTGCATATTTATGGGAATTTAAGAGCGCTTGTCATCAAAATAAACTTGAGGAAATTGTTGGCTGTTATCACTGGCACTGCACACAGGAACCATGCCTAGAAATAGAGATTGGCATAGCAACATTGCTGACTGTTTTGTAGAGAAGGGGGGTTATTTTTCCAGGCTGCAACATTTAATAAACATTTTCTGTTTATTGAAACTGCAGAACCTCATTAGATCAAACTGAATGCTAATCTGCTTGAGTTGTCATCACAGACTTTTGTCTCCAGTGTATACACATCACGAGTCTCTGTGGTTTCATTAGTTTTGTCCTGTGACATTTGTTCCTTTGTGTTTGTCCACAGAAAATAGATCACGGAATGCAGCCACACAAATCCTCCAGACGATGATTTATTTTGCGAGATCCTGTTTTATCTCATCGTTAGGGCCTTGGTAAGTTTGAGAAGCCCTCCGATACAGCCCCCGACTGGTTGATAAGCACAGCTGCCAGCCAGTCACGTAGGAGCTTTTACCTGAAGCCTCAGACCTTGGATTCACACTCCACACGAATGGACTGCAATTACAGAGAAGCTTAGAAGCAAATATCCTAAACACTGTGAAACACCAGACTGTAAATAAAACCTTTTGCTTGAAGGAGAGCTTTTAAATCCAGACAGGTTTTTTGAACCTTATAGAAACAGAATGAGAAGTGTCCCTCAGAGACACCCAGGAGCAGAGCTACCTCAGGTCAACTCCCCCAACCCCCGGGGCAGCATCTCAGCATTTGCCGTTATCCTTTATTACAGCGCAGGGGAGCCGTGCGGACGGGAGGTGTTTGACAGCGGCTCCTCTGGCAGACGGCCCACCGGCGGCCATCGCAGAGGCGCCAGGCTGCAGGCGGGCCCCTGCCACCACACCTCACACCACCTCCCACCCCCCAGCCCTGTTCTGTCAGGGTCGCTAAGGCCCGGAGCTGTAGGCGGGGCAGAGCCGACCAATCCGAAGAGGCTCAACCTCTGTCGGCTGCCAATCGCGGCCGGTAAACAACACACCCCGGGCGGGTGGGGAAGGAGCGGGGCGAAGCCGGTCTGCCGGCCAATCAGCGGCGGGGCAGCCCGCGGACCAATCAGGACGGGAAAGGGTTTGGGCGGACTTTTTAAAACGGGTGCCGCGCTCTGTCCCTTTAAAGGCGTGACATATTTATCGCTTTCTCCCTCCGCCGTGATTTAGCACTCCCATTGGAGGAGGGCATTCTAGCTCCGCTTCTCATGGAGAGGGAGGGCTTATGGATATTTCCGATGTTCTCTGGTTCTCCGGATCCTCTGTGGGCAAGCCAAGGGGGAGAGGCTGCGAGAGGACTATTTTACTTCCTGGCGGCGGCTCACTGGCCGGGACTCTCAGGGAGCGCTCCGCGCGGGGCCATCTGCGGGACGCCAGGACAAAAACAAGGGGGCGGGGCCCCGCCTCCTCCATTTTGATGCGGGGTTGGGGCGGTGGTTGCAGGTTGGGGATGGTGTTGTTCCCTTGGGCGGCGTCGTGACCCTGCTTGGATGTGGGGCCAGCGGCGAGGACGACCCGCGTCGGTGCGGTGACGGGAGCCGGGCTCGCCTCCCCCTCCCGGCAGCGGAGGAAGCGAGCCGTGAGGGCCGCGGAGGGGGCCCGGTGCCGCCTTATCAGCGCCCCGGGTGAGTGTGGCGGTAGGGCCGGGTTGCCCTTCTGTGGAGCGGCCGGTCGGGTCCTTTTGTTCGTCTCCCCGCTGCTGTGGGGTTCCCCGGTGGGGAGGCTCCCTTTGTCTGGTGGGGGAGGGTGGGGAGGTGGGCTACCAGCTGTTGACGACATGTTGTCTGCCGTGAAGGTAAAGGATCCGGAGGCAGGGGAGAAGATGAGCAGCGAGGCGCTGTGGCTTTTCAAGCAGCTGAACCTCCACCTGGAGCAGGAGGGGCGGTTTCGGCCTCGAGAGAAGGGGCTCAGTCTCATCGAGTGCGCTGCCGAGGTGAGGGGGGGCGAGGAGCGGGGCAGGGTGGGTGGAGGCAGCCTCCTCAGGGCAGGAAATACGTGTGTTTTAAATAAATAAGCTCAGAGCTACAAGGGAGGCATGCGTTAAGTTGGAGAAGTTAATTCTCTCCACTTGCATTTTAATTGTCTTAATCTGGGATTATTAACATAGACTACATCATCAGAGAACTTTGACTTGAAAGGCAAGCAAGATATTTAGGTATTTAACATTTATTGATAAACTTTCAAGTGGAAGCCACAGAAATGTGTTTTTATTTTGGGAGCTTTTTATACCGCTGTGTTGTACTACTGCAGGAAAGGTGAGATACCAAGTAGGGAACTCCGGAAATGGTGAAGTAACTGGCTTTTCATTAGTAAGATCTAGGGAAATGAACCTAGAAAAGTGCAGGTGCTCAGAAGCAGAAAATAAAAGTATAGATACTTCCACATTAATGACCAGAGTTCCTTATTGAGTTTAGGGAAGGTTCCCATTCCTGCAGATGCTTGAGTGTTTTTTGGAAATGTTTAACGAAGTAAGTCTCTGAAATCAGTCTTGGTGTTTGTTTTGAAAGCAGATCTTTTGTTGCTTAAATACTGACATGCAAGTTGCTTAAATACTGACATGCAAGCAGAGAGGAGAGTAAGATGAGTTTTGTCATCTATTTCCATAAGGTCAGGAGTCACTGTGTGTTCATGCACTTGGTAACTATTGTCTTACAATAACAAAAGCATACTTTGAAATGTGATTGTGCTGGGTTTTGCACTCTTGAGACTTAAGACCTGGCTGAAATCCTTATAACTGGATGTGTTTTGAGTCTCAAGTATCTAAGAGAAATTAAGTATTTAAGGATAAAAGAATTGTGTCCATTTGATCTAACTAAGAGATGGCTTAGGGAGGGAGTGGTCGCAGTCATCACTGTTGCAACTGAGTAGTTTTCACTTGGCTTTTCTTGTGACAGAATGAAAATACTCTGTGTCCGAGACAAAGGAATGCCAAGGTTCAAGATCTTTGGAGTTTGACCAACTTCTTTGGTTTTGCAACTGAAACGTTTGTTTTGGCTGTGAATATTCTGGACAGATTCTTGGCTGTTATGAAGGTATTGTGGGGGGAGAGGACAGTGTCAGCTGGGAGGGAGTACCTGAGCTTCCTGTGAACTTCCTGATCTGACAGAAAGGGCAAGGTTGTGATCTAGGATGTAACTGTGGCTGTTTGCACATCCTGTGCTAGCAGTATTACTGAAGCCCTCCTTTGGAAAACCTGATGCTGAGTACAGTTCTTGCCAATAAAGGCAAATAGTAGCATTGTTTATTTCCTCTGTAGCTTTCACCATGTAAATGTAGAAGTCTAAGAAAGGAGCAAAACCGTTTGTGTCACAGACTGTTTCTAGCTACTGTGTTGAAGCTTAGCTTAGGACTGGAAATAATGCCAAATGATCATTTCATGGTGTTTTTGTGCTGCTCTGTGGCAGATAGCTTGAACCTAAACTGGCTCCCCACTATGAAATTGGCAGAAAAAGCCAAAGTTGAATCAGTTCTCTGGTCTGACTGAGGCTGCACAAAATGGTATGCTGGTATATGGGGAAGAATAGCAGAGGTAGGAACTAATCCTTGGAGATGGGACTGCCTGGACCAGGCTCAGGCTGGATTTGTATTGGCTTTAAGTGAGGGTGAGTGAGCACTGCTTCTTGGAGGAGCCAGGTATTACAGTTCTCACTGCAGTCCATTCAATGTATAGTGCTGTGGAACAATTTCAATTGAGAGTTCTCTGCTGTCGAACTCCTTTCCTCTGACATAGCTGTGTCATATTGATACCACTTTATTTGCTCTGCCAGCTGTGTTTGGCTGAAACTGAAGTGATGAAACTAGTTATGAGTAGGCAAGGTCTGTGAGTTGGCTGACATCAGGTCTAGCTGAGATAAGCACATCGAATATACAAAACAGCTCACCTATGCTGGGTGATCTGTTGGTATTGCTGTTAGATAAGCATGGTGTTTAAGGGGGGGAGGTATTTATAGTGCTTCCTCTTATTTTTAGGTGAAACCAAAGCATTTATCTTGCATTGGAGTTTGTTGTTTCCAACTGGCTGCCCGAGTAGTCGAAGAGGAATGCAATATTCCATCTGCTCATGAGATCATCCGAATCAGCCAATGTAAATGCACCGTATCTGACCTGAAACGGATGGAAAAGATAATTTCGGAAAAGTTGCACTTTGAATTTAAAGCTACTACTGCCTTAACTTTCTTGCACTTGTACCATACTATTGTACTCTGTCATACCTCAGAAAGGTGAGTTGAATTGCACACTGGTGGTGGTCTGTAAGTTTGCGAAGCTCTTTTTCACTGCTTCTTAAATGCTTATGGCCTTGGCTGTAGTGGAGGCAGCTCCTTAGTTTTTGCTTCCTGACAAGTAAATGCTTGTTGACACACATGCTGCTTCTCTTGGGTGTTTTACAGGAAAGAAGTATTGAATCTCGACAAATTGGAAGCACAGCTAAAAGCTTGTAACTGTCGTCTAGTCTTTTCTAAAGCAAAAGTAAGTGAAAGTAGCTTTCTTTGACTTTTGAGTAGGTTTTGATTCATGTTAGGTTGGATGTTGTTGTTTTATTTGTTTTGGTGTGTTTTTGTTTTTTTTTTTTTTGTCCTTCTAGCCATCTGTCTTGGCCCTGTGCCTTCTCACTCTGGAAGTTCAGACTCTGAAATCTGTTGAGCTGTTCGAGATCCTTCTGCGTGTTCAAAAGCATTCTAAGGTAAATATTGTCCATGCATTGTTTTTGCTGGTTTTGGGACTGGTGTGATTAATGATCTATGATCTTACATTAAAGGGACCGTTACTGTCAGTGTGCAATCTTTACAGGTACTGTTTGGCACCAGCTGAAATAAGCAATGAAACCGGTCTTTAAG